CTAGCAGAGTAATGGATGGAAAAACATTTCGAAAAGTTCAATGACTAATAAAATAAATTTGAAGTTTAACCGTCTATGAAAGACATTTTATGAAAAGTTCAATGATCATTGGGGCATTGATGGACCCACGTGGGATCATGTGGGGTCAAGTGACTCCACAAAAAAAAAAAAAAAATTTATTTTCTTTCAAAAATTATGTAGCTGTCATTTTTACCGACTGTTCATGTTGATAGATTATAGTTTACTCTATTCTTCTATGAAGTATATGATTTTTGATTGGAATCAATAAGTACGTTATTTTCTTTTTTCTGTACGATATATTTGATTTTGTATGGTTTTGAGGTTTGAATGTAATTGGGAAGTTGAAGGTTACGTTAAATTTAGTGCTGTAGATTGAGAATTTTTTGGAGTTCAAGATCTAGGCAATTTCGAAATTTAACGAAAATTGACCTCTTAGGAATAATTGGGTTTGTTCTTTTGCTGCTAATGTGTTAAAATTCGGATGTTTAGATTAATGGATTATTGGTTGCAAATTTCAAATTCCATTTGTCGCAAATTATTGCCCGTTAGATTAATGGAGATAAAAACAAAAGGCCAAAAAAAAAAAAGTAAAGTAAAGTAAAGAAAGGCACTTATAATTGATTTTTCTGTAATAAAAACAAAAGGCAAAAAAAAAAAAAGAAAAAAAACCTTATAATTGATTTTTCTGTACTCAATTTAGTGGGGGTTTTATGTCAATTTGCCAATAATGTTGCAAATTATTTTCAATTTCTATTTTGTTGTTGGAATCAAATTGGGAAAATGCACTTGTATAGTTATTAAGGATTGTAAATTGTAGAGCCCTCTCACATGAATGTCAGTTCTCAATCAAATTTATCTTACTTTTATGTACAATAAAGCCATTGGCCTGACTCACTCGTAATGCGCCAGATTTCGTCGAGCGATATTTTGGGCTTGAAAACTCTTAATTCCATCCTTAAAAAAAAAAACCTTAATGAATGCAAATAGTGCAACAATTTAATGTAATGTAATGTAATTTAATGGGGGCCAAACAAGGGCAATGTTACGTTGTTTTTAAAAAATATATATTGTAATTTTCCACTCCACCACATTGACAGTTTTGACTCCGCCCTGACCCCAAAGAAGCAATTGGAGAAGATGGCATAGGAAATTTCGCGTAGAATAAATTATGGCTCTTGGCTCAACGACAAAGCACCATTAGCTCAGAATCAAATTATTAGGGCTCAGAGAAATTGGGGATTTCTTCAAGGGTGGTTACCCCCTCTCTGCTTACCCAATGATTTCTCCATTTTCCAAAACAAACAGCCCTTATAACACGCAAAGCAAAACCAAGAAAATATTTCCTTGTTTGGGTTTCATTAAAATCTACTTATATAGCGTTATTCAATTCGTTTGACTAAGTGCTTGTTTGGGAGTTTCTGCTAATTTCCCTTCGAGGAAGTTGAGCTGTTGAATATAAAAGGGGCTGTGATGATTTTTCTCTTTATGTTTCTGAGCTAATGGATCGAGTATTGAGATGATCCGACCCGTATCTTGGCTTGGCAATCCTGGATGGCTCTGTGATTAAACAGATGCAACCAGTGATTTGCAGCCATGGCGATGTCAATTTCTCTTTGCCTGCTTCCTCTTAACAGATCTGAGCCTCGACTTAGGTTTTCTTTTTTCTTTTTATTTTTTATGTTGTGATTTTTTTGCACATTTTTGGTTTATTGAAATTACTTGTATTATTTTTAATTATGGTGATTTTTTGCACAATTTTTGGCAGTTAATTACAATTTGGAGTATACTTTAAAATTTTCAAGAGAATGATGTGGGGATTTCCAATAAAATTTCAAACACAGTCAACAACTATTTATTATTTACATAAAAATGCATCTATGCTAAAATCTATATATAAATGGAGTTGTTATTGTATTTTTCTTGAAAAAAAAAAAAGGTTTTTGTAACAAATGAATATTAGGACTTGTTCGGTAGCAATTAAAATTCAGTTAAAATTGAAAATATAATCGTTATTGGGTCTCACTCGTCTAATAAAAGTTAACAATAAATGTTAGTTTTTCAATTTTAATTTGATTTTAATATCTATCAAACACACTTTTAATAAAAGAATCATGTTACTTGTATAGAGGGTGTTTGGTAGAGATTTTTGGGGGAAAAATTGATTTTTGAATAGTGATTTGATAGGAAATGTGTGGTTGAAAAAGAAGAAAAAAGTATTGATGTGATGGAAAATATTATTTTATTGAAAAATGTGTGGTTGAAAATGAGAATTGATTTACTGTAAAAAAAGAGAATCTGTACCAAACAGACCCATAATTTTGTTTACAAATCCTGATATGACATGCATAATTCAAATTAAGGATCAAATGAATTATGTTCAAGTAGCTTAATTGTTAATAAATTAATCAACAAACCATTAAAACACGAAACATTTCGTTTTATTTCCATTAACCTTTCAACAAGGTCGTGATGACACATTGCACTTCAAATTATTCATGTAACGATATTTTAGATGTCAATAGCGTTTGTCCATGTCTATCGCTATGCCTTTCTCTCACGCACTTGGTGTCTGAGATTTCGTGATCTGATTAGTTTTTGATCCAAAATATCATGATTTGAGTGCATTATCTATTGTGTTGGTAGTTTTTTTTTCCCCCTTATGTTCTGTTGACCCATTTAGACTATTAGATCACTTTAATGTTTGTGGTAAAATTAAGAAACATAAACTTATATTGGGAGATTTAAATGGAGTGAGCATGCCAGACAAGACAATCGCTCAGTTCGTTGCACATAAACTTATTTGTTTTAAGTAAAAATTTGTAATTTTTAGCTAAAATGCTAGTCTAAGACAAGTGAATTGCGTGGCTCACGAGAGTAATTTGCAACTCCACTAGTTAATGAGGTGGGCTGGGCGAACAGGTGAGCGGCCCACTCNTTGAATAATACCCTACTAACTAATTAAAATATTTAATTACGTAAGTAATACGTTCTAAACTCCCAAAATCACAAATTCCAAATTAGATTCACGATTCCACAGAGCTCCCAGAGAGAATCCTCCTCACCCACGAATCCGCCAACTCCACTTCGAGTTGTAACTATGTGAGTTTGGACAAACTTGTGTTCTATCTTTATTGTTTTTTACCCTAATATAGTCAAATCTATGGTGAAAAGGAGTTGAATCTTTTGATCGGAATTCAAAATCGGATGAGGGAAAACATTGGGACATTGAACAATCTTCAAATTAATGTCAAAGCCTTACAAATCGAAGGTAAACTTTGAATCTTATCATTTGGGTAGCAGATAACTGTTGTGTCGAGTGACGGTACAAGGTATAAAGCCTATTTCATATTGTCAAACAATACTTTCCCAACTAGTTTGAGTAGACTTTCTTTCAATACAAATTTTATAGCTTTGCATTGTTATGTTGAAGTTTCTGTCATACGTTGTACCTTGATTCTAGAAAACTTCTGGAACTTTAATACAAGTTTTGAAGTTTTTTTAAATTTTGCTATGCATAAAAAAGGCACTCGGTACGTATTGGAAAAACTTAATTAGACTATAGATTAAATTGTATAACGGATAAAATTTGTCAAATCCTGTTTTTGATGTAAATTATATCTGGATTATTATCAGACACTTGTATAGTTTATGTCCAATCACATAAATTTGGGGGCATGGGTTCAATAAATTTCTATTGTGGCTTTCTTTGAGTGATTTCTTATAAAATGTGATGATGGTGTGTATGGATTCGACTTCTTGGCTAAACACATATAAAAGATGATGTGAAAAGTAGCCACCAATTATTCTGCAAAATGTTTGAGTCACATTCTATCATTCAAATGCGTGATTAACAGCATGTAACGACATCCATTACCCAAACGTTGAGATAACTACCATGTGCTACAGCTTCCAACCATGCAACTTTCGCGCTCTAAAGCTTCCATTAGGTGTTGTTGCTACAACTGTTTTGTACTATAGCCTCGAGTCATCGTCGTTGAGGTTGTCACAATATGTCTAAGACCATTGGCAGCTACAATTGAGGCAAACACATGCTGCTCCATCTAGTTATGTAAATGGGCTGAAGTGATTCCAATTTTTCTAGTGTTCAAGTTGGAACTAGATTGAGATGATTTTTTGGATTATATCTCGTCTAAAGTACACGGTCAAACAGTTCTGGATTGTTTGTGATTTACTGGATTATTTGAAAAGGAAAAACAAGATTTATGTTTCTATTGAAGTATTGTCGACCATTTTGAGACAGTATACCGAAAAGCACTTGACACATCTTCAAAACATTGCGAAGAAGATAAGAGTGAAGAGGCAACCGAAGATTAATGAATTTAACTTGTTGCTTGTTATATACATAAGTGTAGTCTTATTAAGGATGTTAAAGATGAAGATGTGATGAAGCAAGGACAACATGTAAATGCCATTTGAAAGTGTTCAATAATAGATGATTTGCATATAACTCACAAGCTATGTCACTTCTTCTTCTTCTTTTTTTTTTTAAGTCTCGCACTTAGTTTCAAGAACATAAGTTGGTCATGTCAACAAGTCAAGCCGAGCCGAAACTCAAAACTCGGGCTCGGCTCGAGCAAACATATCTGAGCTTTTTTGGGCCCGAGCCGTTGCTCGGCCAAAAATTTTTGGCTTGGCTCGAGCTTTCGGCTCAGGCCTTTACGAGCCGAGCCGGCTCGATTTTTTTATTATTATTATTAAAAAAATTTTTACGTGACTGCTGCCTGCAAACGCAGGCAGCAGTCATAGCTATTTTTTCATTTTTGCATATTAGCCCAAATCTTTTCCTATTTCTATAGGGTGAAAGAGATGACCCAACAACTGTGATAGAGAAGGAGGAGTGGAACTAAACGAGTCAAGACATGAAGAAGCATCTTAGGAAGTTAAGAGATTTTAGCGTTTCAAATTGGTTCTAATCAGATTATGCGTCGAGTTGAATCTCAGAATTGGTTTCCTAAGAGATGCTGATCGATGAAGACTGTTCCAATAGACTAGTTTCGGTCTGGATCTCAGCATACTTTGACAAGTCCGCCATGAACAACCATGTTGTTCAAAGCTATATTTTCATGGCTTTGTCACATCGAACATGATGGAATTCGAGTGACAAAGTGCTTGTTTGACAAGTTATGCCACATTTAGTACAATTATATTGCTGAGAAGATGTCATGATGATATTGCGACGGTGCAAGTAAGAGCTTCGTTTTGACTCAGGGATGGGGTTCCGAGAGAATTGTGGACTATCGAATTAATGAGGATAAGTTCCACAAAATTTGTCTTCTTGCTTGCAATTTTTTCACAAGGAAACCGCCTGACCCAGATAACGACGTGTATGATTTCCGCGAGGTATCTTTTCATTTTTTTTTAACCTGCTTCTTCACTTTGAGTAAGTTACTTTTTTCTTGCTTTAAGTTAAATTTTGTTAATTACTGCTACTTAATTGTTTCTAATTTTGATTATTAGAAAAGTCATTCTATTGGTATTGCAGTGTATTCGATGTGCACAAAGTGATTATGGATGCTACAATGTGGTAGAGCCACCCATTGATGCACCTAGAGATCTGATGTACAAATCTGAGAGAGAGGTCTTAAAGGTCTAACACAGATAGCATTTTTTTTTGATTCTTTAGTGAAAAATAATTTTAAGAATTTGTACATAACTTTATATAAAAGAATTTGTACATAACTTTCAGTTCATTACTAAGGCACCGTTTGGTAGCCATTATTCTAGAAAAAAATGCATTCTTTGTGTCAAATCACACCTTTTTTGTGGTTGAAAATGAAGGAAAAGTTATTGATGTGATGGAAAATATTATTTTATTGATGAATGTGTGGTTGAAAATTAGTAGAAGAATGAGAATGAAAAAAAGAATGGATACCAAACAGAGACTTTATATAAAAGTTGGGTTCGTAAACATAACCATGTTTGTGGAAATGGAATCTAGCTGCGCTACAAATTTTAAAAATGGGATGCTGTGTGCGAAACGTGCGAGAGATCATATATACAAATGTTCCACATGAATGTTTGGTTAAGTCGTAGTGATTTATTGAGGTGGATATCTTTTGGTCAAAATGAATATTGCTTCTCAATTTGTCGATGCAGGTTTTCCTGACGAAGCACTACAGGAATCGCCGGCTGGGTGACCCAGACTTTACTCTGGATTTTGAGGAGATCTATGTAATTGATTCCAAAACAAAATCAATAACCAGAGCAAAAGTTATGGTGAACAAATTTTATATGAGCAGTAGTTCATTTCTGAAAATTTGAAATCATCAAAATATGTGTATTTCTATAAACTTAAAAAGTTGCAGTTGTTTCTTCCCCTGTCCTCCTTGGCCTCCCTCTCTTGTCCTTAGATTATCCCTTTCAGATACTAAATTTTGTGTATCTATAAATTTGAAACCATCAAAATACGTATTAGATACCTCTTGGCCTCCCTCTCTTGTACATATTCTATAACGGGAGATAAATGTTCAGTTGAATTATCAAAGATGGTTCTCTTCAAACTTTTGGTTACATATTTATATATAATAACGCTTCTCATCTGCTGCTATGCCCGCCTTTTCAGTTGCCTTTTTTTTACTGTATTATGATTTTCTTCAACAGGTGACAATTCCAGGAGGAAGGAATAGGGATAGGAAGAACGATTTGCTGGTCATTCAAGATAATGGGAACTCCTTCAAAATAATTTCTTCGGTGATTACTCAAAATACTGTTTCATTTTTTTTTTTTCACATTAGCCTGAATCTTTTTCTATTTCTATACGGTGAAAGAGATGACCCAACCACTGTGATAGAGGAGGAGGAGCGGAACAAAACGAGACGAAGGAAGTTAAGAGATTTTAGCGTTTCAAATTGGTTCTAATCAGATTATGCGTCGAGTTGAATCTCAAAATTGGTTTCCTCAGAGATGCTGATCGATGAAGACTGTTCCAATAGACTAGTACTGGTCTGGATCTCTGCATACTTTGACAAGTCCGCATAAACAACCTTGTTGTTCGAAGCTATATTTTCATGGCTTTGTCACGTCGAACGTGAAGAACAGAAATGATCCTGCATAAGTAACATGTCTACTGATGGAATTCGAGTGACGAAATGCTTGTTTGACAAGTTATGCCGCATTTAGTACAATGACCCTGGCTGCATTTACACACCTTGGTACACAACCCTCTCACATGTGTGTGGATCCCACAATGTAGGCCCCATTTTGAACCCAACACACATGTGGGAGGGTTGTGTACCAAGTGTGTACAAGTAGCATTTTTGTAGTACAGTTATATTGCTGAGAAGATGATCGTGATTTGTGTATACATTCCTTAAGAAACGAGTTTGTCGTAGGATGATCACGACAGTTGATAAATTTTTGTCCTTTTCACTTGATGTGAGAACATGTTTGATGATTCATGCCAACTATTGTAGGATGCAACTTTTGGTGAACAATGTGATTTCTTGGTTTAGCAGATTCTCTGACTTTAAATTTATTTATAGTGAATAATTCGTTACTGATCAAACTCAAAAATAAGTACTTTTGACTCAAGATGTTGACATATTTTTGAAAACAGACCCTTTTGTAACCTGTCTGTTGAGTGTTGACCCTTGCTTGATGCTCAACGTACAATGATAAAAACATTTTTTTTTATTTGAATTTTGCTACTCTTACATAAAAAATTGTATATAATGGATTACCGTTTGGCACCCATTTTTTTCTCATTCTCATTCTCATTTTTTATCTCTTTCTCCATTTCAACCACACATTCTATCAATAAAATGATATTACACATAAACCTAAAAATTCTCCTTACTTTTTAACCACACATTCTTCCATCAATTACTATTCAAAAACACATTTTTCTACTAAAATGGGTGTCAAACACCCCCATAATATGATGTGTAGGGAAAATATTAGATGAAAAAGTTGATTGTATTTTAAACTGACAAATTGTAGAGTGTCATGCGTCATATTGTAATCGATTATATAAATTTTGATGTACATGTAGTAAAATCCTTTTGATTTTGATGGTTAAGATTTTAAAATAACATCACCAATTCCGAGGTCTTAAACTAGGAAAGTTATTAGAAAGGATATTGAGTCTAATTCAATCTAACAAAATCGGCTTGTTAGGGAAGAATTGCTCTCACCTTATTAAGTGGATCGTGTTAATATCACAAGCCAATGTGATATTCTAATACGCCCCCTCACGCACAGCGTGGATCATGCCAAACAATTGTGAACAAATCAATATTGGGTGCACCCAACATTGCAAAACTGGGTCTGCTCGATACCATATTAGAAAGAATATTGGGCCTAACTCAACCTAACAAAACCGGCTTGTTAGGGGAGGATCTCCCTCAACTTATTAAGTGGATCGTGTTAATATCACCGGTCAATGTGAGATTCTAATAAAAGTGTCCGATTGATTTGGCTTGGATTTGTTACTTTTATATTGAATTGAGATAAGGTAATTGCATTTATCCACCACTCCAAACAAAATTACAATTGTCCCATTTTGACATTTATTTCATTATATTTGAGAGAGAAGCATTTCAGAGAATTTGCTTGATGTTGAGTAAATAATGATGGTTGCATATGATCTCATGTATTGTTTCAACGGTCTAAATTATTCTTAAAATCTAGTAAGAATCGTGCCCAACTAGGGCAAGTAACGAATTGAAGCTATTAACTTATTAAATGATTCTTGTTTAATACTTTACATTTTGAAAAAAAAAATCAATATTGTTACAAAATTCACCTCAAATAATTATTAGCCCCTGTTTGGCCCCCATTATTTTGTATTTTTGGGGGTTGAAAATTTTTAGAATAGTGATTGATGGGAGAATGTGTGGTTGAAATTTTTTTGATTTGTGTGTAATATTATTTTATTTAATGAATGTGTGGTTGAAATGAACAGAGAGAAAAATGTAATTTAATTTAAATGGGGGCCAAACAAGGGCTTAATTACTCAATTAAAAAGCAAAATAAGTCAAAATTAATAAATGTTAACCATACCAGTTCAATTAAGTAAGACAGTTAATTTGGGAGGGTGTAAACTCCTACATCAAATTTCTTCGAGATATTGTGAAAGAATTATAAAGAAAAGGAAATCACCACAAGAACTATTATTCCGCACTCTCTCCTCATAATCTCATTTTAAAGGTGAAATTCTTGTAATATATAGCAATGTCAGAGTACGAATGCAGAAGGTGAACTTTGGGGAGATTCACTCATAGGAAAAAATGGCCATCGTTGGTTTCGAAGAGGGGTGGATTGTAACAATTAGTTCAAAATTTCACATGGCTCGTTGAAAGTCCGGGGACGTTTATAACCACTTTGGACACTCTCCATTACAAGTTGATTTTAAGGGATAAGTGTGTAGCATATGTGTGAAGTATTTGACGAGCCAAAGGACAAGAAAGTGCATCAATTAGCTGTTGGGAATTTACTTATCATGAAAAAGGGGAAAGCATTCACATGAAAAGACATCTCACATTGAGAGATCCAATTGCTTCTTGTTTTTCATACTAGTTGTTGGGAATTTACTTATCATGCACAGCGGAAAATAAATCAAATTTCAATTCCCATCACGGATCTGCATTGTGTTTCAGATATAAACTGTGTTTAGAATAATACCTTTGATGAATTCTGCAAACTCTCGAACTCCAATGATCACGATCTGCAATTCAAATTGTCAAATTGTCCAACTTCCAAGGTGATCCACACAGAGAACGAGAATGATGACTAGGGTTTACTTTTCTTATGTTAGCAAGAAAAATGAAAATTCTCTACAATTTACAAACCCTAGCAGCCTATTAATATATGAGGAAATTAGAAAAAACAGTTATTTAAAGACCAGTTTTTAAAAATCAGGTTTGGACTTTATTTAATCAAAAATCAGGTTTTAATTTCACAATTAATATTAATAATAATATTATAAAATAAAATTAACATATATACTCACCCTACTATCTACCCCCACCAAATTCATTTTAAAACCCTAAATCAACTCTCTAACCATTTCTCTTCCCACTCTCACCACCGCCGCCTCCTCTGCCCGTCCCCTCCATCGCTGTGAATCACAGCAGTGTCGACGCTGCTGTGAATTGCAGCGATGGTCGAGAAGACGCTGCTGCGATTCGCAGCATCGTCTAGTGGGTTTCTCAGTGGTTTTTGCAGCAGCAACTGGTAGATTTCGAAGCTGCGATTTTGTGGTGGTAAAAAGCTCGGTGTTGGTGCCGTCCCTCCCTCCCTCCCCCTTCCTCACTTTGCTGCGAATCACAGCAGCGTCGACGCTGCTGTGAATCGCACGCTGCTGACCGCCCCTGTGATTCACAGCAGCGCGCTGCTCCAATTCGCAGCAGCGTCTGGTAGATTTCGCAGCTGCGATTTTGCGATGGTAAAAAGCTCGATGTTGGTGGTTGTTGTCGCTTTTTGGTATTATTGTGCCGGTGGTTGTGGTGGTGTTGTGGCGGGGTTGAAAAAGAGTATTTGTGACCAATTAATTTGTTCGGTCGTGTGTTCTACGGTTGGTTAGTTTTTGTTTGTGTGGTGGCGATAAACTTGTATGGATCTGTGGTGGTGATGTTTTGTGGTGCTGGTCGATGGCGGTGATGTTGGTGGCCGTGGTGGTGATGGCGGCGACGGGGTGAGGGTGGTCAAAAGTGGCTGATATAGTAGTGTCATTTGTATGTGACCAAGTATTTGGTTATCTGTGACCTAAAAATTTGACAATACGTGACTGAAAAATAATCTGTGATCAACAAATTTGAAAATATGTGACCAATGAAATTAACCATTTTTTATCTGTGACCTAAAAATAATATAATCTGTGATCGTAAAAAATCTGTGACCAACTAATTTGGAAATATGTGATCATGTGACCTATAAATTTTGATCTGTGACCAACTAATTTTGAAATCTGTGACCAATGAATTAAATATGACCTATAAAATTTTTGAACTGTGACCATAAAATAATCTGTGACATATAAAAATTATTATTTGTGACTGAAAAATAATATGTGACTAATTAAATTATAAATTTGTGACCGGAATGATTGTCCGAATAGTCGTCGGAATAGTCGCTGGAATTGGAGCAGTCGCCAGAGAAGAGTGATCGCATGAATAGTCCCCGAAGCGGTAGGGGTGGTGCATGTGGGGTGTGTTTATTATATTATATTATATTAGAATTTAAAAAAAAAACTTGATTTTTGAATTTTCAAACTATAANTTATGTCCAAAGTCGATTGGACCTATGGCATAACACTTACATTAGCTAGCTAAGGTTAGGAGCTTTAACGAACTACCAAATCCAAATCAAACCAGAGATATCAAATAGTTGCCTTTGCTTTGTCAAAATCCCATAAAAGAACCATTTTATCTTGAGTTCTTGAAAAGTTTCTTGTCTTCCAAACCAAGAATGCGTAGAAGTGCCATCACTTTTCTCTCTCTACCATTGAACTATTCCTTCCCTTTAACTTTATTCCTTTTTCTTTCTGCATTTATTTTCTCTCTAAAGAACTCAGTTTTTCACAACCAAGAAGAAGAAGAAATTGTGGGAGAAATCGTTAATGGGGAGAGGAAAATTTGAGATAAAGAGGATCGAAAACTCGAGCAACAGACAGGTGACATATTCAAAAAGAAGAAATGGAATGATCAAAAAAGCTAAAGAAGTTACAGTTTTGTGTGATGCTAAGGTTTCTCTTGTAATCTTTGGAAGTTCTGGAAAGATGCATGAATACTGCAGTCCCTCTACTACGTATGTATACATATCTAATTTGTGATTACTTGGTTTTTTTACCTTTACATTCTCAACTTGCTTTGACAAGATTCTTTTTTCTTGCTTTTTGTACAAATTAAGGTTGATTGAGATGTTAGATAATTACCAAAGGTCGACTGGGAAGCAGCTGTGGGATGCTACGCATGAGGTTAAGTTGCTCTCTCTCTCTCTCTCTCCCCCTATATCAGCGTGCACGCGCTGCGCGCCTTTATATGACGAAGCTATGGACTTTCGAAATGTGAGCTACGGTCGTAAATTTACACTATCTCCTTCGAGTAGTAAGTCTGAAAATGACCAAGTGCAATGGAGACACTTCACTGGACTTGTGATGATAAGAGGAAACAAAATTTGTCTGTGTGCTATCTCTTTCTCTCCACATACTATAACATCTTTTGTGAATTTTTTTCCACGAAAGCAGCTTGTTTGATGGCTTTTTCCTAGGAAGGAGACATGGATTTTTGCTAAAATATGTCAAGAATGTATAATGAAACAAGAATCCTACGAAGAGATCTACAAATAGGAGTTGTCTCTATAGATCTAAGTGTGTTATTTTACAATTTTTACTCTTTGATGTTAAGGGACAAATGAAATTCTCATATTTATGAGATGTTACATCAGTTGACAGAGTTAGTAATGAAACTAGCTCTCTTTTTCTTGTAAAATTCAAGCATACAAATATATGACATGAAAAAGGAAAATCAGACAAAGAAAAAAATATGTATATATATATACAGAAATGATCTAATGAGCACCGGTGCTCATCTTATCCTAAGCACCAATGAGTTGGCACATTAATTCATTGGTGGATTGGAACTCACAAAATCTTTATCCACCAATGAATTAATGTGCCAACTCATCGGTGCTTAGGATAAGATGAGCACCGGTGCTCATTAGATCATTTCTGTATATATATAT